ACACGGTGAATCATACGTCCTTGTTGTTTGCTTACATTAAACAAGGATGAAACGATTCACTGTGTTACACTGTGTTTGATTGTGTCCTTGCTGGAAAGCACTCTATACTTCCCATGGCTCGCGCTGATGCAAACGTCTGTGCGAGAGAGAAAGGTAGTAAGGGATAAATGTTCCCAATGCGCATGCGCAGCATCACGTTTTACACATCTGTGTAATGTACGAATGCGTAAAAACACTAAACCAACTGCACAATTCACACAGATGACGGTGCTGCGCATGCGCATTGCGAACGTTTATCCTTTACTACCTTTCTCTCTTGCACAGATGTGGCTTTCGGGTGATGTCCCATGCAGCGGATCGTGCGTAAGCGGATTCGCGTATCGCCAATCACAGGCCGGTATTCATAGTCAGATCTTATATTTAAGACTGTCTTAAGTACAGTCTTAAGAAGTCACAAATCAATCAGAAGGCTACATTAGCGTCTTAAGACATTACTTAAGACGATCTTGAAATAAGACTCTACTATGAATACCGGCCACAGAATCATTCTCTTAATGCCCGTCTACAATACACGGAGTAAGAAGTAAGAGTAAGAAATTGACCAATCACAGTCGGTTATTCTTCTCACATTCGACTGTGATTGGTCAATTTCTTATAGCGTTTTCGATTGGGGTGCACTGGCTGCACTCAGTGGCAAGAGCGTGTTCGATTGGCAGTGCCAATGAGCACTTGGCTAGTGTCACGTGTTCATTTGATCGCACGACACTCGCGTAGTGCGCACTCAGTGCGCACTAAGTGGCACGAGATATTTTGACGGTGCCAGTTCAGTGCACGTTTTATCACAGTTAAGGACATAGGGACAAGCAAATCTGCGCAGTTGAATTGAAAACGGGGTCTTGTCCCTACTCTTAATATCTTTTACTGTGGTTTTGTAACATTTTGTTGAACATTGCTTCAAAGTGAACAAAAATGAGTTTCAGCTTTAGCACTGAAAATCTTGGCGTATTCTTTTGAACTTGCACTATTCAGTGCAACCAATGGAACTCGTCCAGTGTTGGTGTGAACTGAGTGCGCACTGGTGCGCACTAACTTTTGCCCAATCGAAAATGCTATTACTCTTAGGCTGGAGTCCCACGAGGTATATTTACCGCGTATCGCGTAACCGCGTAACCAATCAGATGCGATCCGCTCTTGTGGTTTCGCGTTTTACTGATTATTGATTGGTTACGCGGTTACGCGATACGCGGCAAATACGCTTCATGGGACTCCACCCTTACTTCTTACTCCGTGTATCGTAGACGGGCCTTTAGATATGCTTGCGAAATTTGCAAACAGATCTAATAGCGTTTTCGGCCCGATCGGGTTTGCACCAACCTGGGTTGGATTAATCTTTCCTATTGGTTGATGTCACACGCTCTACTAATAGGGGAGCGCAAAACGCCATTAATCCAACCCAGGTTGGTTCAAACCCGGTCGGGCCGAAAACGCTATAAGAGAATGATTCTGTTATTGGCGATATGCGAATCAGCTTAAGCCGTAATCACACTAGCGATTGGCGATTGTAATTGACGATTGAGGATTACTTTTCAACCAATCGGAGCAAAGAAATCGGTGACTTTCAGGCTCTGATTGGTTGAAAAGTAATCCTCAATCGTCGATCACAATCGCCAATCGCTAGTGTGATTACGGCTTTACGCACGATCCGCTGCATGGGACATCACCCTCACGTTCAGCAACCTATGCCCCTTTCATTTATATATGTTCTAATGCTGGATTCACACTGCATCCGATTTGCGTCGTACGACGCTCTGCAACCAATCATAAAACAGGATTCCGATGGATTTTGCTTTATATCATCGGAATTCCGTTTTCTGATTGAAGAGCGTCGTACGACGAAAATGGGATACAGTGTGAATCCAGCATAAGATCGACGTTTGATACTCTCATGTAAAGGCGCCTTTAAGCATTCGAAACATTTAGCGGAATTTAGAAGTTTAGAATTAAATTTGGTAACACTGATTCATTCCTTTCTTTTGTCGTGTTCTTGCAGCGTGGTTATAGGTAAGTGTCTCATCTCTCATCGTGGTTTTTATAATTTAAAGGAAATAAACGATCGTATACGAGATTGTTGCGATATTTTCGTGTTTTGTCTGGACGTCCGATATTTCGAATTTATGGTTTCCCATAGCGCTTTGTATCCGCGAGACACATGGCCAGATGTGATAAACGTGTTCCAAGAACCATTACAGTACTCCGAATCATGCTCGGTCCACAACCCTGCTTTTAGAGACCTTAAGTCATAAGTCGAAAAAGATTAAGTGACAATAATTTCTGTCTGTAAAGTGTTTTAGTGCAGTCTTAGACTTTAACTGTTAATCTTAAGCAAATTTAGCAAAACCCAATTTTTCCGACCTGAAAGTGTCAAGTTCTGTGGCGATATATCATCACAATTTACGGCTTACTCTTACAGCAAGGCCTCTGAAAGTAAGGTTATGGACTTAGCCTCACGTTGCATGCATTATCGAGGTTCTACAATGAGTCAATAGTTGATAATCGGAAGTTTTAACCAGTCTTAGGGCCGGTTGTTCCACCTTTTGGTAAATTTTACCTATGAGGTAACAGGTAAAATTTACCAAAATGTGGAACAATCGGCCCTTAATCTAAGTCGTATAAAGGTCACTTTCACCAAGCTCAATTAACTTAACCAGCCTAGTAACTGTAATGAAATAGAAAGAGATAGAAATAGTTCTATCTCTTTCTATTTCATTACAGTTACTAGACTGGTTAAGTAAACCGACGATGGTGAAAGTGGCCCGAAGTTGGCTATTGTCTAAAGGCCCATCTAGGTCTATCGTAAGTTCCTTATTACGATGATCATAATGCTCGTCGTAAAAATTTACGATATAATGCTTGTCTGGTGATACGATAGTCAATGAGACTGAGGTTAGGTGAAATCCGCGAGCATTACGAGGTCAATTAATAGTTTCCTAACTTATCACCTTCGGTAACGTTTTTTTTTCGAATTCATTATGTACATAATTCATTATAATAAAGAAGCGGTATCTATGTTATTTGGCCCTAACATTCTGTTTCGCTATTAGCTGTGTTACGATCTTATGTAGACAATGTTTAATATCATGGGTCTTCTACAATAAGCCACAAGTCAGACGTCAGAAGTCTTAACCAGTCTTTACCAAGTTGTTCAAGTTGGCTGTTGGCCAACTTTACCGATTATGACTTAAAATTGCTTAGAACTTTTGACTTGCGGTTTATTGTAGAAGGCCCATGAGACTAATGAGCCTTCTACAATAAGTCATTAGTCATAAATTAGAAGTCAGGCGCTAAAAATTGACTGTGATTGATTAATTTTTAGCTTCTGATTTCTGATTTATGACTAATGGCTTCTTGTAAAAGGCCCATAATGCTGATTCTTGAATGAGTCGGTAGTCGGAAATCTTAAGTCTTAACCAATTTTAACCTAAATAGGTGACTATTGCCTATATTCATAGTCAGACTTTGTACTTAAGGTTTCCTTAAATTTATCTTTAGATGCTCAGTAGCCAATGAAGTAATTCGTAGAGTATCTAAAGATAAATTTAAGGAAGCCTTAAATATAACAGCCCTTCTACAATAAGCCGTAAGTCAGAAGTTCTAAGTTATTTTAGGTCATAATCGGTGAAGTTGGCCAATAGCCAACTTGAACGATTTGGTTAAGACAGGTTAAGACTTCTGATGTTCTGACTTGCGGCTTATTGTAGAAGGGCTGTAAGGCCTGACTATGAATACGGACATACGAGTTTTCACATCTATTGTTAGTTGCAGCGAGTCGTTTAGCTTGACTAGTGGGAAGGAATAAAGTCGAATTTGGTCAGTCTTAAGAAAATCGGTAGTCTTAGCTTCAATTCCACAACTCACGATTGACTACCGATCTTTTTTAAGACTGACCAAATTCGGCTTTATTCCTTCCCATTAATCGAGTTAAATGACTTGCTGTACAATTAACAACTCGTAAATGCGAAAAATAGTCACCTATTTAAGATTGATTAAGACTTAAGATTTCCGATTATCGACTCATTGTAGAATCAACATTAGGACCGCTTGGAACTTCCGACTATTGATTCATTGTAGAATCTCGGTAACACTATATTTCAATGATTGTATGAGATCACGGCTTGTTGCGATAGCCGCGATATTTGGTGCAATTATCAAGATTTAACGACTCTTCGTTTTCTTGATTGACATGTTGGTTTAGCCTTCATTTCTATTTATCTATAATACCCCTTTGATTTAAATTGAGTGAATTTTAGAAAAAAAAAAACAGTTTTAGGGTCTGAGCACAAGAATTGTAACATTTACAGTGAATTCGATTGGTCGCACTCAGTGCGCACTGGTGCACATTAAAACCGTCGTACATAAAATAACGTAAAGATATGTTTATAAATAAACAAAGAAATCAATTAAATCGTGAAATACTTAATATATTTTATTGTACTATTAGGTAAAATATGTATTTTAATAATTCGAAATATTTGCATTTTATTTTTATATTCAAATTAAATCACTGTACAACGGCTTTAATATGCACCAGTGCGCATCAGTACTTTCAATCGAATTTACCATTAGACTCAAGTTGTAGACGTAAGTAACGCATAAGTTTTCACGTATGACGTACAACTTATTACCGTGTCTCCAAGAGACTGTAATAAGTTGCGTGTCATACGCCAAAGCTTGTGCGTTGCTTATGTCTACTGAGCCTTTTATAATAAGCCATTAATCATAAATCAGAAGTCAGAAGCTAAAAATTAATGACTGTGATTGGTCAATTTTTAGCTTCTGACTTCTGATTTATGACTAATGGCTTATTGTAGAAAGCCAACTTAAGTTTATCGTAAGTGTTACGGCAATCCTAGTGCTCAGACTCTCAATATGAATGATTCTTTTTAATCAATTCTTAAATTCTAAAAACAATTGATATTGCAAATGTAAAATCATTTTCGATACTGACTTTTCGGGTAAAACTCTTAAAAAGTGTAAAAACTTTAATTTTTCAAGAGAGTATATGTTTCATGATATTTACAGTAAAGTTTTTTTCTGTTGCTCTATAATTATTTTGGGTATCTATTTATCTCAAGTTATAGTAAGTGTATTTTAAAATTATTGTTAAGATACTACTCGAACAAGAAAATTATTTTGTGTACATCATGATATACATTAGGTATGATGCAAATGCATCATAACATTAGGGAATTGTTTTTTTAAAGATGGAATCACACGATGCTCGATTTCTTGAATGATAGCATGCATACAGTCATGCCTGCTCTGGGTACCTACATAGGCATATAAGATAGACCCAGCATTAGCTATATATATCTGGGTTTTTTCAGAACGGTGCAGAGGCAAATTCGGGGCAATCTATCTTTCTCTGCGCGCATCTTGACAGTAAACTTTGGTAATACTCAAGAATTCTACCTTCCTCACTGATTTTGACGAAATTAAGCTCATTTGATGCGTTTTTAGACGTAAATGAACAAATCTGGCAAAAAAAATGACGCTCTGCCCCATAGACCGAGATATTAATTGTTGAAGTTAACGACTATTCAAATTAGAAAATCTGTTACATCGATAGCATAGAGACATGAGAACATGTAAGTGAGGCTAGAATAAATATTTTCTGTTTTAATTTCATCAAAATCGATGAGGAAGATAGAATTCTTGAGTATTACCCTTATTTTATATCTTATTTTATTTTTTTCAATGATAAATGTCAAGATGCGCACGCAGAGAAAAATAGGTTGCCCTGATATTTTTCCTCTCTTACCGTTCTGCCAAGCCCAACATATACTATAGAAAAGTATATGGATGCTGGGTGTATCCTATATGTCTATGGTACCTATCATGGAACATGTCGGAATAAATTGCGATCGGAATCCATTCCGAATATTTCCATAACCCCGGATCTACAATAGGTGTTTTAAGCCTTAAGCCGTAAAAAATTGACCAATTACAGTCGAATCCGAGAAGAATAAGCGACTGTGATTCGCTCATTTCTTATGGCTTGAGGCTTAAAACACCTATTGTAGATCCGGGGTAATAGGTGCCCTGATATATGCTATTTGTTCATGCATTAAACGCTGCATGCTACATATACATGATTTTTATATGTATTTATTATGGATTACTTCATAGTTTATTTCCTTGCATGCACCAATTAAAGGAAACAATTGCTAATTTTATCATTATTTGTCAAACGTTAGACTGTATGTATCAAAGCAAGTAGAGCAGCATGCATGTGTACATTCATGCGTGCATGCTTATCATTCAAGAAATCGTGTGATTCCATCCTTAAATCTCCTATTTATTCACCACTCTTTATTTCAAATTGAAGTGGAGAATACACAATAAATCTTGCAAAAATATTAATATGGAAATATGTGTTTTAATAAAACAATACGTACAATTAATGGAAGTGACTTGTAAAGTACATCGAAAATTCTCCTTTAATTTTGTTAATTAATAACGAAAATAATATACATATCTAGAAATGATTTATGCTTATAACCAAAAACGAAATGAGCTGTGTTCATAGCTGTGACAAACTGTCATGTTAATAACGCACGCACGCACGCACGCACGCAC